AATAAAATGTAAATCTGTTTTTCCTGCAATCTTTAGTTTTGATTTCTGAAAACCATATTAACTTTTAGATTCCAGCAAGACATTTTTTCCTGCTGGTATTAAGTATATATATATATACACATTTTTTTTTCTCTTTTAGGAAACTAAGAACTCATTTACCAAATGAGACAAAACGACTTTGACCCTTCTCCAAAGATACTGCTATGAAAGGCACAGGTAGGATGTCCTCTTTGGGCCTAGCTGACGGGGACTGTGGAAGGAAGCAGGGAGGGATGGCAACCCTAATGGTATCCTAAACATGACGTCCCCAGACTTGAGAGGAAATGCCAAAATACAAATGCTCTTCCCTGAAAGCTAAGGTTCTCATTCAACATCAATGGAGGGATTCTTTTATTAAATGTCCTCAAAAGAATACCAAGTAGATGAATCCAGGTACTGTATATAAAGACTGTAAGAAATTCCAGGTGTGCACATTGTCTTTAAATGAACAGCTGTGAAACTCCACACTAAACAAGGCAGTAATAAGCTCATCCCTAACTCCATGTTTCCATTCTACTCATGCTACTTAAGACTGCACAGACTGAACTAAAATTAAGAACTGCACATTTGTATTTAGCCAATAAATGAAAAAACTTTTCCTTTTCAGTATCTTATAGTGGGATCTTTTAACACTATTTAAAAATGTCTCACCCAAGCACACAGGCATGCTAGCATGTTTGCAAAGCAAAACACATTTTTACTTCACATTTTGACTTTTAAGTTGCTTCAAAGAATACCTTTTACTTAATTCAGTAAAGAAAATAATGGTACTCTGCAGTGTAGTTAGTGGTATTTTCCCTTTTTTAAGGAATACAAGCCTACTTGTAATTAAAGGAATGCTATATTAATGATGCTTAAAGTCTCAGAGGGAAACACTTAATGTCCACCTCATAATATTATGCCAGAATTACACGCACAGAAGACTTTTTTAATAATCTTTGTTTCTTAATTTAGTTTTGATTGGCTATGAAATACAGAGTAGCGCTCAAGGGCTCAGATTTCTACTGCTCTGTAAATTGTAGCACTGCCCACGACTTCTGTCTGCAGCCTTCCCTTCCTGCTTCTGTGCAGCCTACCAACAAAATCAGCTGCAGGCAACAGATAATTGCGGATAATTTTATCATTCTTATGCCACGGGGATGTTGGATCGCGTTACGATAGCTAGGTTTGCTAAACGGGAGCAGAAAACAGTATTTATGTGAGGCCATTTCAGCTGTAAAAACCACATCCATCCAGCTCCACTTTGCAAATTACGGTGAGAGCCACTAGGAGTCTCCTGGCTGTGAGTTTGTGTGGAGTTTAAATATTAATGTTGAGTAATGTTCAAATGCACAAACAGGGAGGAAGGCTTCATCTTGGCAAATTAGCCAGGCTCGCGAGAGGGGCACAGTCCACCAAGTTTTTAAACCCAGAAAAGTCTGGGATGGGGTAAAAGATGGTGACAGGCATGAAGAATTAAACTGTATGAAATCTTGTAAAAAAAATTAAACAAGCAAAAGATTCCACCAACTGTTAGGCCTTCCTAAGAGGTACCTCCATGGCCTGGAAGAGGAGCGTAACCAGTCTGAGCAGTTCATTTCTTTATAGGCTTTTTAATTGCTTCTCTCCTTCCAACCAAAACCGTTTCCCAAACCCTAGAAAATGTGACTTAAAAAGGATGAGATTTTAAACAAATAATGTCTTGGCTGGGTGCTATTTATCCAGCTTCTGCTGTCCAAGATTTCATTTTAAAACTTTTCTCTGCAACTAGAAGGAGTAAGAAAATAGAGGTGATGTTTTAAATAAAGACTGAGAATCTCGCATAATCGTAGGTCTCCCGGGGTTTGAGGTTTCAGAATAACCTCAGTAGCTGTTAATACTGAATGTCACTATTAACTAGGATGTTATCCTGTAACCAGATTGCATAAAATCAATTGTGGAGTAGTTTTCCTGCCTCCTGCTCCCCAAATCCCCGTGAGTGGTGGCCTGCAGGGATCACCCACAGGTGCCTGTGAATGAGGAGCTGCCACAAGCAGCAGTCAAGGGCTGCGTTTGCATCTTGTGACAAATTCACATGTGCAAAACCTTGTTATTTGGGGCTCTCAACTACACAGGCTCACAGAGCAAAAGAAAAACCAAAAACAGAATTGTAAGAACATTTAATTGCACAGGGAGCGTGTTGAGCTATGTAGGAGGCCAATTTTAGTATAACCTCCTGCTCCCCGTGCACCACAACCCCACGAGTCCGGGCAGCAGCAACGCACATCCTGAATTCTTCTTTCCTTTTTCTGAAGGACAGTATTTTACTGAAGACTATTATCATGTGCCATATCACAGAACTCTTTTCTTTAGATTTTGCTCTAATCTCTCAGGACAACTCGGGTGCACTTGTTGTGACATGGTCTGCATCAGGCTGAGGACTGACACAAACTCAACACACAGACTGTATGTGGCAAGGGTGAAGAGAGCATTACTAAGGCTGGCCGAGAGAGGGACAAAACAGAGAATTGCTTCCAGCTCTTGCTCCTGAAGGAGCAGGGTTGTTTTTAGGTATAGTTGCTTTTTCTTGGAATACTTGAAAGGGCCCAGATTTCCTCCAAGGAATTAACAGAAGGCAGTTAAGCATTAAGCTGATCAGAGTAACAATCGGAAAACTAATACACAAGCTTAGTACATTAATACTCGATATTCATAATAATAAAAACGAACTACTGGTTTTTTTAAGGCTGTTTGGTGTATCGCTGTGCCAAAAAGAGATCCTTGAGTCTCTGCCATATCAGAATTCAGGATTTTTTTTTAAGCACAAGAACGTGTCTGATAAGTATATATTCTTTTCTGCCATCTACCTCCTGCAAGTACTGACAGTGCTATTTATTCCCTTAACTCATTTTCCAAAACTAAAAACGAACACAAAATAAAAGATCTCACTGGGAAACACCAAAGGCTCAACCCTACCAATATGCATAAGCTGCATTTTGAATGAAATCTGCTTGTGCAATTTCTATGTGTACATAAAGTATAGCTGGATATGGAGCGGGGTTAGGGATGAGGGGGGACTAGAGTTCCTCTTCATGCTGAAATTTCTCTTTTCAAAGACATGAAAGTCGAAGGAAAAAAGTCTGAATAAGAATGCCCTGCAGGGTGCTGTAGCATATACATACTTGAAAGCTCAAGGAGCTGCAATACCTCAGGAACTGCAAATATTTCTGTACTATTCCTCCTGCTTCGACTCAGTCAAGCAGTTACCAATGCATATGTTGTATTTGCACAACATGGATCCATACTCAGAGTAAACAGAGCCATTCCTCAGGCTCTGCAGGAGCGGGTCATCCTAAACTCGCCCCGTTAATTACAGCATTTCATGGTGTGCTCTCCTGCTCTTCCTGTTTCCCTGTCTTTCCTGACAGGTTTCTGTTGGCCTTTGGAATTGCAAGAGTTTAAAGTGAAAGTTACATTTGTCACCTCAGATGATTCCTGAGCAAACTTGCATAATCCATCATAGCATCAAGGATCCTGCTAGGTCAAACATTTGCAGTAAGAGTTTGGCAGGATTTCAGCAACATTTTTAATACTTCAAAGGATATTGTTATTAATTCTACTATCTGTTCTAACATGAGAATAGTCATGAAAATTACTTAGACTTGAAAATTACTTAGACTAGTGCATTTAGACTTCTTATTTTTTCTGCAGTAAAAAGTAGAAACAAGCTTGTTGGGCTGTGGTCTGCACTAAAGTGGTTCATTCAACTTTTTGTATTCACTGCATGACACGAGTTACTAGACATCACCCTGTCACTGGTCCAGGGCTGAACCACATTTATTGCAATTTTGACAGCGGAAATACACTTTAAGATAAAGAAAAAAATGACCCTATTATGCCAGGCATGTTGTATTTATTTATTTTTAAACAGTGGCTGCTTGAAGCTGTTCTGAGGTTCAGGATGTCAAAGCAGCGTCAGCAGAGATGGATTAGCGGGCAGAGAGCAAGCGGTGCAGTGAGAGGTTCACAACGCGAGTAATTTATTCACGTCGCCCTCCCATTCATCACGTGCCCCTCGCCACCGCGTACGTGGAAAGCGGCTGCACCGCGTCCCGCACGCGTGTGCGGCTGCCCCCGAGCTCCGCACGGAGCACACGTGGCTGCAGACGGCACCGGGAGGCATCTGAAAGCGGATCTCCTTCCTGGGAGGACTCTGCCACACAGCGACGGTGACTCTTGTAGAGGAAAACCTCTCTTGTCGGCTCTATGCAGTTACAGTAACCTCGCTTGCCATTTTTCAAACTTAAATTATCTAGCTAATGGGAAGTAAATTTCTTATGCTTTAATAGTACCGTATCATAGACACAATTACATCTCAAACCACATTTCCTGATCAAGGAATGCTATATTTTCATTCAGTATTTTCCATAAATAAATATTCAGTGGCAAAAAAAATGGATTTCCATGTTTTGCAAGGAAAAAAAAAATCATTTGCAAAAGTAGAGCCTCTCATAACCACTTCTTGCAACACGATCTGCCACCAGCCCAACCACCCCTGCCACTTTGGAAGCTTTTGCAGCCCGAGTTTCTAGCAACACTCTGCTCTTTGGAAGTGATGCTAAATTATATGAGACCAGGGTCCTATCAGCTGATCGGAACCAGCTCGCTGAAGCCTTGTGTGATCCCTGTGATCCAAACAAACACAGCCCAGATACAGATTAGCAAAGTAGGAGTTTTGTGCTGCTTTCTCTTAAGGCATTGAAACTTGCCCAGAAAGACACTGAAGTCAGACTAGGTCCTAAGGAGAAGAGCACCCCATTGCCCAGCTTAATGCACTGCCTTACTAAACACTTACTGTTCCACGCAGCAGAACTCATGCACATTTGCAATGTGATGCAGATTTTTCTTAGGTATTTATACCTGAATCATAAGAACTTCCACTTGCAGCCATCTTATCACAAAAATCTATCTACCAGCTCTGGCCAGGGAGAGGCTTGCCTTACCATTGCACAGAAGGTCTCCGGAGGGTCTCCGCACGTTATGTCTGGGGGATCCAGTGTCACTTTGACGTATTTGATCATGTCTCTGGCTTCCGGCTGGCAGGCCATGTAATCCCATACTTTCCCTTCCTCGGTGTAGATCTGAGTCTTGCACACATCGTAATGTCCCCACACGGAAGGATAGTGCTGCATCATTGAAGACACCGTAACCCAGAGGGCGTGAAGTGACAGGAATCTTGATAAATACATCTCTAAATCCTTTTGTGTCACCTTCGTAAGTATACTCAGTACGGGCGTACGTGCAGTCTATAGGTCACGCATATATGTACACATATATATTTTGTAAAAGGGGTTCCAACTCAAACGCGAAGCATTAGTATATGGTGCTTGTTTTACTAGGTTGAAGACTTTGGTAGAAGCCACAATCCCAAAGAAACAGCCTTTCACAACAATGTGGAGCTTGTCCTCTCTCTTACAACTTATCTAGCAGGGCTTCTTGTACCGCATGTCCCAGGGCAGATAACAGCTCAAGAAGCTGCAGGTCTTCAGATAACCCTGAGTGATCCTCCGTGTTGGCAGCTCACAGGGGATGCCCAGACACACTGATAAATCAGTATCCGAAGCAAAAGGACGAGTGTCCACAGGCCGATGTCCTTTTCCCATCAATCACGCTTTGCTTCTGGCACCAGCACCCTTTTAGAAACAAAAAAGAGTAAGAGTTATTGTTCACAAAACAACGCGTTACAAAATATATACGACACGTTGACGTTTTGGAGGTTTGATGCAATATAACACAAATTGCTTTAACGTGGATAACCTTTGGCATGGGTGCCGTGCTAGAATGAACAAACTACCAAGCTCAGTCACAATGAGAAGTGTTTCAGTATGAAGAACTTAACTCTATTTAAAGCAAACAAACAAAAAAACAGATTTATAATGTCCTAGGAGGGTTGCATGTTCTGCTTCCAAAATTGCATTTCCATCCTGGCAAAACCAGCGAGCAAGCCACAGGACTTAAACACTTCTCCTTCATCTCAGCTGGCAGGTAGGGCAGCAGGGAAACAGCCCATCATGGCAGGGCACCAGCAGGAAGGCTCTTCTGTTAAAGTGACAGAGAGGGGAGCATCGGGGCTAGCGGTGCCCGCATCGCTTGGCAAGGCACCTCAAGGAGCTCCGCAAGCCTTAGCCATTCCCGGGGGTTTTGGGGAAGGATGCAAAGGCAGTAGTGAGCCACTTCCCTTTCCTGGAATCTTCTCATTAGCACTGGGACAGCTTTGCTCCCTTTTTGTTAATCTGATTACTGAGGAAGATAACAGTTGATTCATTTGCACCTTACTATAAGGACACTTCCTGCTTTTAATAGAGGTGCCATATTTTCCTAGGCATGGAGAGGAGAGGGGGCAGGTATTACATGCCTGCTCAATGTTTATTTTATCCTCATTAAAAAGCAGCCAGGATCCTTTCACTTTATAACCCCTTAATTATATTACTGTAGGTATAAAATCCTGGGATGTTTTTCCAGTGTTTTAAAACACCCATATATGCTAAAAGGCAAAGGTAAACATAGAGGTACAGTGAGGGAAACTGCAAAGACACAGTAAGTTCCTAAATATGCACAGACAAAACCAGGACTGGAGATGTGAGCTCAGCCCCGGGCCTGGGGGCAGCAGCACCAAGCCCCGCGGGAGAAGGATTTTGGGGAGCTGCTTCAGCATTTCTCCTCTCCTCTAAATCCCACATGAACGCTTTAGGCAGACACTCAGAGACAACGGGAAGGCACCACAGGCTGTAGTTCTGTTTGTCTCGAGTTTTAAATTCCTTCTATACTGCAGAAAAATGGGAAAAAAAAGTATGTATAGTATATACATACCATAGTATAGGTATAAAAAAGTATATGCAAGTGGGTGAGCCCCCTAAGAGGGTGCTTTGGTAATAGACGCTTTCAAGACAGAGCGAAACTTCTCCTCAAAGCTATTCCCAAACTGCCTCCCTATATTTAAAGAATGCACCATCTTAAACCGAACTAAACTACAGACACTATGAAATGCCAACAGATGGTTGAATTGTGTTTCCATAGCAAAGTAATTTACAATAATTGCCGTATGGACGTAAATGCAATTTTCCATTATATTCATTTTATCAAATGTTACCATACAACTGTGATATATTTTATCAGAATACATACAGAATATCTGAATTTTCTTGCAGTAGTAAAACTCAATTAGCTCAAATATATTTTAGCTTCAGATCTGAATTTGAAACAAAAGCAGAAATATCAAAAGCTAGATTAATCTTTTAAGAATCACATTGGGTACTACCATAGCTTTATTAACAACCTTACATTCTTTTCCTTTTTCAGTGGCAATATTTACTTATTATCTCAGAATTCAGAGAACATATACGGTATTCTTGTAGAGAGACATCACAGTTTTCCTCTCTAGTCCTTTCTAATATATTATTTTGGAAGAAAAAAGCCCCCAGACAACGTAAATAGAACAGTCATAATCCAAAAGAGAAGCAAGTGCTCTGTTAAAAAAGAATCCCTTGACCTCACTCGAAACCTGCAAATTATTTTAAATTTATTGTGACAAATGGAGACATGCTCTGTATTGGAGAAGACTTGGTCATAATTGGAATAAACAGTAGGTGAATGTCATGTTTCTGTATGGAAAGAAGATGTTACTAGGTTTAATTAATCTTAACCACAAGCCTTTACATTCAAGCAAAATTAGATTTTCGTTGGTAGTTCTTCAGTTTTCCATAACCTTTTATAACTGCTGAGGCTCTGATCTACAAATAAATAGGGCTGGATAGGACTAGAAAAATGGGAGGCAAGTCGCTCTCTTAACACACTGTGCTAAAATACTTCCCATATAACGAATTCTCATTAAAGTAAGCCAGAGTCATAATGATGGTCGTTACACAGAATTATAGACTATAACATTGATCGAATTTAGTGCACTTGACAAGGAAAAAGTGCAGAGGAGTGCAAGACATTTGAGCATTAGGCAGATGTAGAACCGTACAGACAGACATTCCTGACAAGAAGCAGCCAATTATAGCTTAAATTTCTGGCATATAACCAGTTCTGATTAATAGTTTTCCATTACATTACAGACATATTATTAATGTATTAAAAATGTCAAGCTTTGGCAAGAACTACCACGGCATGGCTCAGTTTTCTGCAATATCTTCTTTTAATGAGCTTCCATTGATACACAGAGAGGTATTGACCAAGGCACATTAGGGATCATATGCTGAGCGCTATTGGGGTCTGCCCAACAGAGCTGTACAATTTGTCTCGATTATGTTTATTCTTGCAGAGTCACTCGTTAGGCGCTCTACAGTTCAGCAGCCTCTTTCTAAAGGCTTATATATATTTGCATTATTCTGCAAAAAATGTTTAGAATAACATTTATAAAGCATAGCACTATGCTTCCAGCTATACCCTGGGCAATAAAGCAGGATTCCCCCCCCTCAATAACACATGTACGTTTGACGTTACAAAGTAAAAAGAATCAAACAAATCTGGAAAAACTACTATGAGGGGTCCCCGTGCTCCGCACCTCGTAGCTCTCTGGTCTGTCTCGCGCTTTTGGAGTGTCAAAGGGTCCGCGGGGTCCGCGACACCTTTCCTGACTTCAGGCGAGGGCACCGCAGGCTGGTGCAAGGAGGGATCTCCCATTCCCGACTGCCGCTCCCGGAGACACCCTGTGAGGGGCAATAGCGGCCCTGAGCGCAGGACGTTCCGGGCCCTGGGTGTCCCCGGCGGGCGGCAGCCCCCGCGCATCGCGGTGTCCCGGCTCCTGCCCTCGGCGGGCGCTCAGGCTGCCCCGGATCCCTTCCGGCTGCCGCCCGTGCCTAGCGAGACCGGCGGGCAGAGCATCCCCGCACCAGAACCGGCTGTCGGGCGGCTTTCCGCACACGCGCCTTTCTCCCAGTGCCTCACGCTGCCCCTCCGAGGGCTCCGAGCGCAGGGAAATTCCGCCTCTGCAGCCTCCTCCCGCACGGCTCCCTGCCCAAACTTACTGCGCGACGGGGCCCTTCCTGCCGCCCCTTTCCGAGAGGCAGCCGGGCTGCAGGGGACGCGCTGAAATAACAAGTGCTGATTTCTCTTGCAGAGCAAACGCTTGACAAAACGCGCTGGCGCCGCACGCGAGCCGCGGAGCCGAAATCCCCATTAGCACCGCGCGCCGGTGAGCGGCAGCGCGCGAGGAGCGCGCGGAGCCACCAGCTCCCTCCGCGACGGCTCCTGCTGGGGATCCCGAGAGGGTTGCTTGTAAATGCACCCCAAGTTTGCACCCCTCGACAGTTTCTGCAGATGAGCAGAGCTAATGAAGCCTAGGGAAGAAGATCCTTTGCATCTAGCTCAGGTATTAATTATTTAAAGGTAGTTTAGACTTCATAAAATAGCATGTGTATTACTAAAAACTGATGATCCTCATGGCTAACAGCTACACTATTTAGTAAAATTACTTTGCTGCGCCTAAAAACCTTGGGACCCTAGTGCATATAAAACCCACCTACTTAAAAACAGGACCATCACTTATTATAAAAGCAGAATTATTCATCCATGCAAACAGAACGGGAGCCTGCATTTAATGACTTAATGCATAATTTCCCCCATATTTGGATAAAAAATACTCTGTATTGTGAAAAAATCCTCGAGTGCCTTAGGACTCAGTTGCTGCACCAAAAGAAGTTCAAATCCTACTTTTATGTTGCTTAGCTCCTAGCTATTCAGAAGAAAAAAAAATCTTTGTCTCAGGAGGGATTGAAAACATTTTCTTCCACCTATTGGTGGGAGAAAATAAAACGCAGAGTTGGGCTAGCTGTGATCCTGCACTGGAGATACTTTAGGTCTCCAGCATCATTCCTTGATAAGCGACCTCGACCCCCGATTACTTGCAGAGATCAGCACTGGTGAGCAAGGAGGGTAAAAGCACCTGAGATTTAAATAGTAAAACTGTAGCTTTACTAACAGACCCAGAATTTGGCCTGAGCTCCTGCCAGGCTGTGTGTACAGCTAGAAAGTTGCTTCCCCTCCTCATCAATGTCCCAGGTTGAGCGTCGGTGACCAAGTCCAGGCGACATCGGACTGTTGTGCTAACTGCTGGAACCCGCCGGGGAAGCAGCCTCCGGGCCGTCAGACCAAAGCCAGAGCCCGTCTTTCCCACCAAAATCCGCTCACACGCAGGAGAAGCAGCAGCAGCGCGGTAATCCCCATCCTTCCCACGGGCCAGCTAGGCCAGAGCCGCGCGGCTCCGCGCTGCGTCCTCCGCGGGCGCGCCGGGACGCATTCCCGTCGGGAAAGCGGCGCGGCCCCTTCCCCGCGCCCGCTCTGCG